AATTGCCTGCAGCTCGTCCCACCACAACCGGATCTGTCTCAGCCTACCTGCTCCGCTGGAATCATCCGCATACCAGCTCTGCCGAATTGATGTGTGCTGCTCCTGGAGACGAGTGATGATCGGTATGGTGGCAACTGCGTAAAAGGCCATGGAGAGGGGGTCGCCCTGAGTGGTTCCCTCACTCGACTTGACTTCCCCTCCACCTGCAACAAATAAACGTGCAGCCGTTTGATAGGAGTTAATGATGATGATGATGATGATGATGATTGCCGTAAAAGAGGCCCTTCTCATGATGATGATGATCTAGTAAGGCCTCTTTCACGGGCAAACAGAATACAATTGACAGTGGCATGGCGAATGATTAGAACACAACACCAAAAAATGAAAACAGTTGTATGTGTGAAAAGAAACGCAAAAAACATGATTTTTTGCGCACGCGCAAAAATATGTTAACACAGAAGGCGCATGCTCTGTTCCCAACAAATTCTCACGCGCTCATTGTTCTCCGAAGTCCACTGTTCCTGATTTCAGTTCTTGCTTTGTCCGCATTGGCAGTGGATTTCTTTCTCAACCTCAATCTCAAGGTTTACCATAGCTCACGGAGATGCCCCGTGCACGTAAGCAATCGGCTCCCGGGCCCAGACGTTCCAGTCGCAGGCGCGCCTCGTCGTCCCCGTATGCCGACACATTGCAAATCGAGCCCCTGCGGACCATGCGGCCGATCGTTCCGGCAATATCCGTGCGGATCGTTCCGGCAATGCCCGTGCGGAGCAGGACGATACCCCGTCCGCCGTTCCCCAGCCGGCCAGCTTACTCTCAACTGGCCTAAATCCACGTTCCGTTACGGCGGCCGTGTCGACGGTCCTGCACCCCCTGCTGGCTCGAGTCGAGCGCCTTGAGGAGCGAATTTCAGCTCGCCAGGATCCGGACGGCCATGATCAGGCGGCGGTCCCCTCAGTGGCAGATGTGGTCCAAACCGCGTCCAACGCCGTCAACAAACACCCGCCGCAGGTCGACTCCGGCCCCATGGACATTTCCCTCATGCAACCCGCGCTGCCTCCGATCACAGCGCCCATGGCGAACACTCGTGAGTCCAGCTCTATTGTTCCCACGGTCCCGCGTAAGTTGCTAGACAACTTGAAATCACACGCGGCGAATATATTGAGCTGGAGGATCTCCTCCCGGAGAATGTGGGCGCAGGGTTCGAGCCCTTGGAGCTCAGTACCGCCAACGGAGAGGGCCGGCGTGTGTCCCTCAATTTATGTGTGACTAAGAAGCGCTCCATTGTCGACTTCACTGCCTGGCTGGAAGCCTACACAATCTACATGGCCTGCGCACTGAAACATGTGCCATTCCGAGCACTGGAGCTGGTGACGTACCAGCACATTATCTGTACTGCCAACCAGCAGTTTGCGACCCCAGCTGTACTGGGGTATGACCGTGCCTTCCGTGCAGCGGCGGCAACAACCTCGGCTCGTTGGGACGCAATCGACCAAAGCCTCTGGAGCCTGCACCTGATCCGGGCACCCCGACCATCATGTCCGCGCTGCACAACACACCACAGCCGTGACCGTTGCCCACAGTATTTGGCAGGGCCACATGCTCCAGCTGGCACCAACACCAGCCGAAATACGCAGCCATTTCTGGCCGGGGCGGGCAGCACCCGCCAGATCTGCCTCAACTTCAACCGTGGCCGCCCATGCCAACACCAGCCCTGTAAACGCTTGCACGTCTGCTCAACCTGCGGCGACCGAGGTCATCCCGCCGCTCGCTGCACCAACGACGGTCGCCGGGGACCCCGCCAGACGGACAAGCCCGTCGCAGCGAAGTAGTCTCCCCACGCCTCTGTACATAGCCCGCCTAATGACTCTTTTGCCCCGTATTTCTAATCGTGTCCTCTCTGACTTTATCCTTAATGGCTTGCAACACAGGTTCCCCATTGGCCACTCTGGTGCTTCTGTATCTTTCATCTCTGGCAACCTCCCAACTGCCATTGAACATGCTCAGTTTGTACAACAACAAATTGCTGACCGGGTCCGACGTGACGAATCGGCCGGTCCTTTCTCTGTCCAGCCTTTCCACCCATTTGTATGCTCTCCGCTCGGCGTAGTGCCCAAGAACAACGGGAAATTCCGCCTCATTCACCACCTGTCTTACCCTGATCGTATGTCTGTCAATGATGGAATAAACAAGGATTCGTTCTCCCTACATTATGTCACAGTGGACGATGCCATTGGGCTTCTGCAACGTCAAGGTACCGGTGCCTTGATGGCGAAGCTCGATATACGCAATGCATTTCGAATGGTCCCTGTCGCACCCACTGCATACCATTTGTTGGGTTTCCAGTGGCAGGGCCAATTCTACTATGACAAAGTACTGCCATTCGGGCTGAGGTCCGCACCCTACTTGTTTTTAAAACTGCATTGCGGACGCACTTTGCCAGATAAGCTGTGAACTGTTCCAGGTTCCCCACCTCCTGCACCTTCTGGACGACTTCTGGCTCTGTGGCCCTGCAAACTCAACGCTATGTGCGCAGCGTCTGAACGTAGTCCTCTCCGTATTCCGCTACCTCGGAGTTCCCATTGCCGACGAAAAGACAGTCGGCCCAACGTCCTGTCTCACCTTCCTGGGCATCGAACTGGACTCCGTCCAGAAAGTGGCTCGTCTCCCACAGGACAAGGTTGACGACATCCGCTCCAGACTAGTGGCCTTTCGCCAACGCAAATCCTGCCGTCTACGGGAGCTTGAACAGCTGTTGGGCAAGCTGAACTTTGCCAGCCGCGTCATCACGCCGGGCCGTACATTCATGCGCCGACTGTATGATGCCACGCGCAGCGTTTCCAAGCCCTACCACCGCATCCGTCTCTCTCCAGAATGTCATCTGGACCTGTTTTGGTGGTCTCACCTACTCGATGGCTGGAATGGCAAGTCATTTTTCCTCGATCTCCAGGAGACGCTGGCCAGCGACATCCTGATAGAAACTGACGCATCTGGCGCCATCGGGCATGGCGCAGTTTACGGCACGCATTGGTTCGCCGACGCTTGGTCACCACAACACACTCCGCTCTGCATTACGTTCAAGGAGCTGTATCCCATCTGCATTGCATGTGCTACGTGGGGCCACCAGTGGTGTCGCAAGCGTATCCGCTTCCATACCGACAACGAAGCTGTCGCCGCTGTTCTCAAGTCTGGCACCAGTCGCTGCCCTAATGTGATGTCATTCCTACGGCAGCTCTTCTTCATCTGCGCCAAGGGTAACTTTATGGTCACCGCCCGTCACATACCTGGAACTACCAACATCCTTGCTGACGCTCTCTCCAGGCAAGATTTCAAGCGATTCCATTCGTGCCACCCTACCGCCGCTCACATGCCCACTCCCGTGCGTGCTCTTCCGTCCATTCCTGGGGAGACTTCGGCCGTGCCTTGCACTGCCGAGTGACAGAAGTCCACATGCAAACTGCCATGAAAGCTGGCAGCACCGGTCCTGGGTAAGCGCTGATCAGACAGACTGAGCCCAATTATTGTGGGTGCCAGAGCATAACCGAATGTCACCAATGTACCGACTGTACACTCAGTAACTCAATATCACTCTACTATTGTCCACAATCTGCCCGTAAAAGAGGCCCTTCTCATGATGATGATGATGATGATGATGGTGGTCAGGTCATCGATTCGGAGCTTTTGCCAGCTCTCCTGGGCCATGAGTTTGACCCCAATAGCTCACAGCGGGAGCTTATGTCTCTTCCCACGAGATGTGGTGGTCTTGCTGTGCCGATCCTACCATCATTGGCACCTTTGGCGGCCTCAACAAAGATCACTGAGCCGTTCGTGCGCCTGATTGTACCGCCGGATACATAAACGCCTCCAGAAGAGGCGCCTGCTGCTCCATACCAGACCTCCACACAGCCTCTGACCGTTGCGGGCGCGGAACAGCCTCACAATGTTCGGGGCCATTCTCCCGGGTTGATTCTATCGTCATCTTTACCCGATGATTTCCGCCTACATCCTGCACCACGGCCGGGGATCACTAGCCTGGATGACGCAGCCGGAGGCTCGGCCACCGATGTTATCTTTGATGCCATCGGGGCTGTTCGACAGCGGGCCCGTCAGTCACGTCAGCAGCGGCAAAAGAAACAGGAAGAAAGAGTGGCACAGCTGCACCCCATGCTACCGCCGGCGCAACAGCTTTTGTTGGAAACAGCTGGTGAGAAGGGTGTTTCAAATTGGTTATCCTCCATGCCGTCTTTCGTAACGCCCAGTTCAATCCTGAACAAATCGGATTTTCGTGATGCTGTTTGTATTCGATATGGTTTGTCATTGGAGGGAGTGTCCAGTTCCTGTATTTGTGGGCAAGACATGACAATAGATCATGCCATGAGTTGCCCGGCGGGTGGTTACCCAATTGCAAGACATAACGAGATCCGGGACATTCTGTCGGAAGCTATTTGGGAAATACTGCCAGATGTGGAGAGGGAGCCTCTTCTCAAGCCGTTCGAAGGAGAAACACTACCACATCGAACTGCGAACCGGTCTTCGGAGGCGCGTCTGGATATCAGGGCGATCTGTATTGTTGCTGTGTTTGCTCCGCTGGTGTATTACTTGCATACGCGGTTCGCGGGCATCATACAAGCGCCAGCGCCACAGCTTTTTAACAAGCTGCCATACCCTTAGAGCACGTTGATGTGTATGGTGTCTTAAGTTTTTAATGTTCTTTTATTCCATATTTTATTGTTCTTGTTTGTTTGGGTTTTGGTCATTATCTCTATGAAGCCTTCTCCGATTGGTGGCCCCATGCTCACTGTGTTCAACTGCACTTTGCGTTCCCTTTTATATTGAGTTCTAGTGCACTTTGTGTTCATTTTCCTCTCTTTTTTCATTCTAATTGAATTTTGATGTATTGCGTTTTTGCTTGCCCGTACAAGAGGCTGTTCAAATGATGATGATGGTCCTCTAATTCTTGACTTGATTTCTTGTAATGTGTATTGTGCTCTTCTCCATAGGTCGTCAACCCACTCTGCGACAGTGCTTGGTTTCACAGCTACATGTGAAATTTAATAGTCGTAGACAGTCTCTGTTTTCTCTATTGAAAGTGCAAGAGAAACGGGTGAGTATGGATTTGCAGCAGTGCTTAGTCTTCTTTGTAAACCTATGGGTGCACACGCATGTGTGTATGTACGTGTGTGTGTGTGTATGTACGTGTGTGTGTGTGTGTGTGTGTGTGTGTGTGTGCGTGTGCGTGCGTGTGTGCGTGTGTGTGTTTGTGTGTGTCGTGCCAGCTAGTTCGGTTGGTGGGTACATTTATGCCAGATAGTGTTGGGTCTGTTGCCAACAGGCTCGGCTGCTTGACGGTGTAATGTTGTACCTGCCACCTTTGTTGGTTTCAGGGTTCATATACTTTCTATTTGAAGTATACATACCTGTTAACCATGGACTGCTTCTGGCTAGATTAACTCTTGTGTAATCAATGGTGCTAGTGAAGCTTATATCAGATCCACTCTGATTTAGCCACCCACACTAGTAGCAAGTATTACCTTCACTGGGGGCAGGGGTAACTGCAGTTGGATCCCAGGACGGATACCCTGATGCCGTCAATCCTTTTTCTGCACCTTGTCCTCACCCACTTACTGAGGTGTGGTGAGCCCATAAGTGGGATCATTTCCTAAGTCCACCCATAGTTTGGGGATTTCAGGGGGTGCCGGCCGTTGGGCGGTTCAATAGCCAATTGAGTCATCTTTCCAAGATTCCTTTTGAGTCTTTCTCCCCTCTCCCGGGGAGACCCACGTGACCAGTTTTGGCAGTGAGCAAGTACAAGTGTGTGTGTGTGTGTGTGTGTGTGTGTGTGTGTGCGCGTGTGTGCGCGTGTGTTTGCATGTTTGTGTGTGTGCGTGTGTGTGTGTGTGTGTGTGTGTGTGTGTGTGTGTGTGTGTGTGTGTGTGTGTGTGTGTCCCATATGGTGCAGTGGTATGTGCAGTCGATTTCCAATCGAGAGGTTGCGGGTTCAATTCCCGACGATTATGGTCGCACACATCTTTCTTCTCTTTCTCGGACTCTTCCTGACTTTTCTTTCATTCTCCTGGGTGGTTACCAACAGCCAGTGTATGCCGGAGTATGTGGTGTGTGTGTAGAAAAAAGAAAAAAAGAAAAAAAGAAAAAAATGGAAAAATGAAAAATAGGGATTCACTGGCCAGAAAAAGTCACTTCAATCAGCTGTGTGGTGGATACATACCAGGCTAAAAATAGTGGCGGTCAATTCATCAGCCTTGCAAGCTGTTGAATGATGTAATCCCAGCACAAGTTGCTATGTCTAACATAGCTGTTCGCTATCATCGCTTCCGCGAGAGATAGGAAGCTTTGTCACATCTCTGAGTTTCACGTATTACTACGATCATCAGGCAAAGTCACGCATGCACACATGCACGCACACACACACATGCACACACACACACGCGCGCACGCACGCACGCACGCACGCACACACACCTCAGACCTCAGACCTGCCCATCGGCAAGTCTGTACAGTTGTCCGTTTGTTAGATATGGCGATCTTCCGCTGCATACGGAAATTGTACATGTACTCGAACCCAGTCATTCTAGGGTATAGTGGGTTTCTGCATACAGAGTCCGTCAAGAAGCATTTTGACGTTTGAAGAAAAGCTTGCTCTAGAGTGTTTTGGAGCTGAATCAGGCGGGCAGACCCGAAGCGGAACAGGCACAATCTGAGCAAGTGTATGGTGTGCCAGGATTATAAACCTGACGCGCAGAACAGGCGCTTGGCAGAGAAATTTGCTCAGTGCGCCACATACGAGGCAGAGTTTAGTCTGCTCGATGCTGCTCGTACACCCAGCCACGCTAGAATAACTTGAAAATCAGGATGGTATAGCGAATGAGATCAAGTATCACCGTAGCTGTTTTTCACTGCACGTAAACAAGAAGTCTCTGAAACGTCTTGCTAATGATGCAGTGGATTCTGATCTGGCCCAGAATGGCGATGTGGAGGCGCAGGCATTCATGACATTGTGTGAGTGGATTGAAATTAGTGTCCTGACTCAGAGTAACTCCGCAACAGATATGACTGAAGTATGTAAACGTTGCAGTCGATTCCTGGACGAACTAGGATTGATTGGTCATGTTCAGAGGTCCTTCGCGGTGAAGCAACGCCTCATGGAACACTTCGGCGACCGGTTGCAGTTCCATCAGCCGCTTGAGACAGACATGTAAATAGTTTGGTTGTCTTTTCACTTGTATTTAACTATGTCGGCTCAGAGTCATTGCTACTGTATTCTAATTGCTGCTGCGCTTGAGTACATGACACAGCCAATGTACTTTTCATTTTTTGTAGCACCAACACGAAATTTGTATCAGGGACTGAGCGCCACATTACACAACTCGAAGTTTTTGACAGCCATGCCACAGACTAGCATGAAAATAAATTTGACTGTATTTGTACAGTTGCTCGCACTGACCTTGCAAGTCCACCTAAATTTTACATGTTCCTTTTTTTTCAATGTATTCAGCTGAATGATGTTTTATTGCCACCAGGGAGTCGTACCCTCCCTGACTGCCACCACCTGGAGTCTAAAACGGACTCTGTATGCAGAAACCCACTATACTCTAGAATTACTGGGTTCGAGTACATGTACAATTTCCGTATGCAGCGGAAGATCGCTATATCTAACAAACGGACAACTGTACAGACTTGCCGATACTTTTATCGTCTTCAGCAGCCACAACTTAGTCAGAACCAGCTCTAAAAAAATTGTGAGAATGCATGCGAATGGATTCATGAATCGATTCAAGTGCATAATCGAACGCATGCAGCCACTGTACTCTAGAATGACTGGGTTAGAGTACATGTACAATTTCCCTATGGAGCGGAAGATCGCCATATCTAACAAACGGACAACTGTACAGACTTGCCGATACTTTTATCGTCTTCAGCAGCCACAACTTAGTCAGAAACAGCTCTAAAAAATTTGTGAGCTATAGGTTACGAGTTTCTAGAAAATACCACCTTGGACCTTAGACTAAAGTGGCACCAGAGATAATACCACTACCTACATATATTGGCCTACTGGTGCCATTGAACAAGTGAAGAGTCAATAGCTCTTTGTGTGTTGTGCGTGTTCTTATTTTCTTCTTGTCAATATACCCATTGCGCAATGACGTAATTTGTACCATAAACACCCTTCACAGCCACCTGGGCATGGTCGCCTGGGGTGTTGAACAGTGCATTCCTGAATTACTCATACATTCCGTATTTGGCAATGCGCGCTGGGTCAATTGCTCGACATGTTCAATGTGATATGATCACGGTACTCATGGCTCTCTGCATGACAACAGTTTGCATGACAACAGTTTGCATGACAACAGTTTGGGACTAAAGCCTAGGTGTATCTGTTTTGTGATGAATCCTTTTAGTGACCACATATCCGCTGATACAGGTCACTTGAAAATATTCGTCATGTCATGGAAATGCAGCTTGAATCCAAATCCGTTGCGATGTTATGTGTTATGAGTACCGCGATCATATTGTTTCTATCCGAGGCTACAATTATTTCTGTCTCCACGTTGACTTTTCACCTTCAATCTCGTGTACCTTCCAGCCTACGCACCATTGCCTTCTCGAGGTGCTGCTAAAGTCGCAACTTTCTTTCTTGTACATACTTGTGTACAAGATGGCGTGCACATTGGCATTTGTCATGTGTTTGTGGTCTTATGTATGCGTGCCTGTGTGCGTGTGTGCGTGAGTGCGTGCGTGCGCATATGTGTGTGTGTGTGTGTGTGTGTGTGTGTGTGTGTGTGTGTGTGTTTGTGTGTGTGTGCGCGCGCGCATGTTTGTATTGTGCACATCTCTGGCCATGCATATTCGTGTGTGCAGGCTGTAGCCTATCTTACTATTTTGGACAGATGCTACAAGCATGACAAGTACACCGACCAAGAAGGGAATGTTGCTTTTGGAAGAAACCGCCACTCTGCCACTGCCACTGGTACTGTTACGCCAGTATCACCTAGCACCGCAGCAGCAGCAGCACCTCCGGCACCTTCAGCACATCCAGAAGATCTAGCACCTCCATCACATCCAGCACCTCCATCCTCTCCAGCACATCCAGCATATGCCCATTTATCTGCGGCCTCTTCAACAGCCTATAACCCACACTTTTCACAGCGGCTGCAAGAGCGTGAACAGCTCCCGGATGGTAAAGAGGAAGACCTAGCAAGGTTAGATAACCTTCTTTGCCACCAGCCTCACTCCCTTTTTCTTGCCCACTCCCTCTCTCCATTTCCCCCACTTCCCGTCTAGAACCGGGCCGATTCTTCCTGGTACCTGTTAGATCTCAGGTGATTTATCAATCCACGTAGCTCTGTGTCGAGCGTATCCTGGTGTTCTTTTGGCACCATTATAGTCTGGGATCTTTTCCGACAATTACTGAGGGGCTGGGGAGGGGGAAGGGAAGAAGAAGGGGGGGGGGGGGTACTGAGTGGGGGCTCACAAACCCTTCACAACATGGATTGAGGTGAATGTAGCACAATGAGTAGGTGAGGTTGTGGCTGTGAGGTTTATGCACACGCACATGCACACCCACCCACATGCACACCCACATACCCACCCACACATGCCCACCCACGCACATACCCACCCACACATGCACACACGCTCGCACACGCACGCACGCACACTGATTCAGTCAATGTCTTGTTTAGTCTTTTTTTGTCATTCCTCCTTCTTGTTTTACGAATTTTATGCGTGGTTTCAAGTAAAAACAAGACACATACGTGCACGCACACACACACACCCACGCACGCGCACACACACACACACACACACACATTTTCCTTGCTCGTATGCAGCTGATTTTTTGTAGGCACTCGCGGGGAACCTCTGTTTGAATTTGAATGAGTGTATCCTTGCCAACAGCCCACAAATTCAGGGGAACTCCCGTCCGTTCAGTCACGCACCGCGGCCCTGAGCGCCAATTGACCGTGACGAATGTTACGCATGTAGTATCTCACTCAGCATTCATCCCATCGCTTCTGCCATGCCATTGTTCAAGACGAAAGCTGAGAGTTTTCTCTTCTTCCTGCAATACACTACATGTGTGTGTCGTTCTCTCCAAACAATTGAGAATTGACTAAGTTACGATAGTTTAAAATAATACTTGTAGTCAGTGAAGCCAGCAAGGAAATAATAATGAAGCGGGTAGTGGTGCACAAGGAAAACGTGATGTGATGTATTCCTGTTCATAAGTTTGAGGGAGTTGAATGTATTTGAACAGGTGATGTGGAGACAATAGTCTTAAAATGAAGCAATGAATAAAAACTTAGAAGTTGCGACTTCGGCGATAATAGTCATGAAGTTGATTGTTCCAACTAGGAACACACGCTTCTTGCCGAACTTGACACTTGACTGACTCACGACTGCCATCCGGAGCACACGAGGAGCACGTCGCACCTTCCACTCGGCAAACCTGCAAGAAAGCACCACTCCCTGCTCAATACACAGGATGGCAGTCGTGAGTCAGTCAAGTGTCAAGTTCGGCAAGAAGCGTGTGTTCCTAGTTGGAACAATCAACTTCATGACTATTATCGCCGAAGTCGCAACTTCTAAGTTCGTATTGTTGTCCCTCACGCGGACGTGCGACTAGTTGTTGGAGGTGACAGCGTTGCGAATAGCTATACTGGCTCTCAACGTCTGTTTAGCACAACTCCATGAGCGACTCTGACTCACGCTGCTACCTGGAGCTGCACGAGGTGTTTGTCGCGCTGGAAACAAAGTGTCTCTGTAAGTTTGTATCCCTGGTGATGGTTTGGCCTGGAGAGCAGTATATAAGTGGTGCTTTTCAGGCACAATCTTCCTCAGCCTACTCAAGCTCAACTGATGAGGGGTGAATTCCCCGAAACACTGTGTATTGAGCAGGGAGTGGTGCTTTCTTGCAGGTTTGCCGAGTGGAAGGTGCGACGTGCTCCTCGTGTGCTCCGGATGGCAGTCGTGAGTCAGTCAAGTGTCAAGTTCGGCAAGAAGCGTGTGTTCCTAGTTGGAACAATCAACTTCAATGAATAAAAGTTTATAAAACTATGTGGGCACTGGTATCAAAATTATAGCCACAAATAAAGGGTTCCAGAACGTTTTCTTGTCACGATTATCAATGGAATTCATAACTAAAGGGAATGATGAAACTACCATAGGATCAAGAGTAGATAAACAAGAGTGTGCAACTCCGGATCTCTCCTGCACAATCTGCAGATACCCCCGCCCACGGCGGAATTTTTTGTTAACGTCACCCTTTTTCAGAAGAACGCGCATTTCGCCACAGAGCAGTGTGAGAGCACGTGCTGGGCACCGACCTTGTAGTGTAAAGCCGGCCAAGAGCACGAGGGAAAACTTTCCGAAAGACTCGCAGCTCGTGCGTCGTCGAAAAGATTACGTCAACAAAAAATTCCGCCGTGGGCCTACCCATCCGCGAGTTGCACACTCTTGTTTATCTACTCTTGATAGGATGTATGGGTGTACACTTGGAGTGGGGAAAAAACGAGAACACGAGATAAGTAAGAAACTAGCACATACTTGGAAAATATATTGCACTGGTGAAAGCTATACTGGTGAGAAATGATAGGAAATTCAGTAAGATAGCAAGGTATAGTGTGAGTTGCAATATGGCAATGTATTGGTGACTGTGTGCGAGTGCGAATTCACCGGAAGAGTGTAAGTGCGGTGACATTTTCTTTCTGTTTGCAAAGGTTGGGATCACAAATTCGAATGTAGACTGCTTCTAGAACTTGCAACTGCTTGAAACTACTTGCAGAACGAACAACAGTGAACCACGAATCATCATACCTTTCACCACACACTGGGTTAGACAACAAATGCGTCTTGATTCCCGATGTTTTCTTCTTCTCGCCGCCTCTGCTGAGTCTCTGACCACCGCTGTCTTCATCACCATCATCACCATCATACTCATCATCATTGCCGCCTTCACTTGTCTTCGACTCTCCTAGTAACTCACAACCGGGTTCATCACACCTCGCTTCCATAATCTTCCTCCTACTGTCGTCGCCTTCTCTTCCTTACTGACTTTCCTCTATCATTGCCCAGCAACGAGTTGAACGTATTCTACATTAAGAAATAGTGGTAGCGACTTCGTCGATAATTTCATGGGAAAGAGTTTTCTCCCTGTGTGTTGAGCAGAAAGCGGTGCTTCCTTGCAGGTTTGCCGAGTCGAAGGTTCGATGGACTTCTCGTGTGCTCTGGATGGCAGTCGTGAGTCAGTCAAGTGTCAAGTCAAGTCGGCGGAAAAGCACAAGCACCAGTGTGGGAGCAAACTCTTTTTTCGTATTTCACATTGAAGTAAAAATCCCCAGAGACCCAAAAGCGACTTTTAGTACCGGTCGACAGGTTACTGACAGCAACACTTGCTTGTAGGGACTGCATAAAACGATGGTAATGTGATGTCTCCCTGATGTCAGGCTAGAGTCTGTACCACAGGACACCCATTGAAATGAGGTAGAGTGTAATACCAGCTGTTGTTTTAGTGACTGGACATTCAAGAAGGTAATTTTTCTGACTGCGTGTAGCACGGCCGGCATCGAGAGGAGTGAATGTGTCAGTAAGCAATGTACTGCATTTACTCTGGAGGCAGCGTCAAGTGTACCCATGAAGCTTGTGACAGGGCATTTCCTCTATTGACTGCAGGTGTAATAAGCAATACAGCGGTGCAGACGGGGATGCAAATGGTGCATTGAATACGCAGTGGACTGCAGGCCTTGAGTAAACACTCCGGGTGCTCACACTGATGGGGGGTGAGACCAGGAGAGAAACGGGTGCTAGCATAACGGAAATAGGGGAAGGATAAGGGACTTGAGGTACATGATGCGGCATGGGAGGGCCTTGCAGCACCTTGTTTCGGAACAAAACCGCAATTTTGCAAGCAGCTCGCTTGGCGATCTGGTTGACCATGGTGGTTCACTTTAAAGGTCTGGATCCATGTGACCGCCAAGGTACTTAGCAGTTTCTACTTGTTCCAGTTGAGCTCCAGAGCACTTAACAGGGGTCCATGGTGTGTTGGGCAGGGGTGAACAAACTCTGGGTGCATTTGGCAGCTAACAGCTAGGCAGCGGCGGCACACCTAGGACGTTTAGTTGTGCATGGTCCAGGGCTGTGCACTGTTGGAGACGACGCAGCTTGTAGCGTGCAACAAAAGCTACTTTTGTACCTTAGGAAATCGCTGTCCATCCAATCAGGTGGTGGGTAGATGTCTGGTTAACCACCGCCAGGTCACAGCTCATTACTGATTGTCACGACTCATTACTGATTGTTGATATGCACGGTGCCCTGCTTACCAAGGTTTTATTGTTGTTCTTTTTCCGCTTTAGCTACATGGTCAAGAGTGTAGGAGAAATCTCTGGTAAGTTTTAGTGGTGAAACGAATATTCGAATATTCGACCATTCGTTCGGTTTGTCACATTCGAATATTCTTTAAGTCACATTTGAGTATTCGTGACGTCACTTTGAATGCAGTGCATGTACATGCATGCACGCTGAACACAGTGCGTACAGCCTGCCTGTGACTTTGTACTTCATGTTTGCACATGTATGTGCATACTGGACTGCCAATGTTGCACATAACATGTATGAACTTCGAAGTAGCCTTATGTGGCAGTGCATTTTATGTGGCACTACCGTTTGTCATACCTAATAATAATGACAATATCCATCAAATGACTGGGAGGAGGGCATGTGATGTCATCTGTGTTACCGAAAGAATATTCGTCCGTTCGTTCGTTAAGCCAAAGAATATTCGGCTACTAGGTTTTTTGAAACTCGGATGTTGAGCCATAAATAAATGTAGAAAGGAAAAGGACATAAGGATACGAGTTAAGAGTAATAAATTTGCTTTGAAGGATCAGTCGGGAAGTGAACTGCCTGAAAAGAGAAACAAATGCCAACCCCACCAGGACTCTAACCCGGACCTTGCTTGTCATGAGCAATACTCTGGGGGAGGGAAAAAGACCCAAGTCACTAGTGCCATCAGTATGTGTGGTACATGTTGTGAGCTGCCTTCAGATTGAAGCACTTGTTAGCGCCTTCTTGGTTCGGGCTGGTCCCATAGCTCAGATGGTTAGAGCATTGCTCATGACAAGCAAGGTTTGAATCCTGCTGGGGTTGGCATTTTTTTTCTCTTTTTAGGCAGTTCACTTCCTTGACCGATCCTTTGAATTTGAAGTGTTCCCAATCCTTTCAAAATTTGCTTCAGTTCAATAACTACTCCGAAAGCCAGTACATAAGATCATGGTCTTATATGCGCAAGATTACGGTGTGTATACTTCGAATAGAAAGTATTATGGACCCTAAAACCAACAATGGTGGCAGTTACAACCATACACCTTCAAGCAACCGAGTCTGTTGTGATTTTATGACTCTTTTCTTCTTCTTGTGATGTTGGTGATGGGCCTATGATGGATTGTAGCGTCAGTTGCAGATATGTCCGACTATGCTGCCACCTCGAGACCAGGCAACGGCAATGTCGCATCTCTGGCTACTGCTGAAGCAAGGGTTGTTGGCCTTGCAGCCCATACAGCGACTGGTGCCAAGGGTGAGTCCTGTGTTCATGAATCAGTAGCGCCTTCGACTGTGGACGCGGAGAAGGCGGCTTCAGAACCAGAAGCCACGGGTTCAACTCAAGACTCCGGTGCTGCAAGTCCGGAAGCTTCTGCTGACGATACTGGTAGCGCGGCCAGGGTCAGGGCCGCTACTGGTCCCTCGGCCAGCGCCAGGGCTGCTACTGCTACTTCATCAGCACAGGTAGGTCTCTACTCTCTGCCTAACTATACATGTAGTAACAATGAACAGTCGCGGTCACATTGTGTGCGCTGACTGCTGGGTTTTGAATTTTGATGACTTTTTGGCTAGCCACCCACTAGTAGTACCGTTTTGCAATCGAATGTTTTTTTATATGCTTGAGATCGTCCATTGTTGGATGAGGTTCTTGCACTATGGGAAGAAGTGATACAGGTAGTTCATGTCCAACAGCGAAATGCCGGGTGGATATCTATCCTCTTCAGTCTTGAATTCTACTGATAGCATTCTGATGTTGCTCAAAGAGAAACATTAGCTGGTATTTTGGTGGTGGATACGCCAGTCTACATGCTGGTTATCAGACCAGACCACACATGCCATTGCACACTAGTATGCTGGTCGTGAAATCCAGTCTCACGAAAAAGCTGTGGTTGTGCATCAGTAGTGCACAGCCTTGGGTACCGTGCAGTCTGGTGCTGCTTGGCTCACAAGGCAAGCCCAGCTACCATTGCGTTGCAGTAAGTTACATGCTGCCATTATGTAGTCGTGTAGTCGTACAGGCTCAAAGTTCTTCTAACTGACTATGCACCCATCTCCATTGCACTCTTGGGCCTCTATCTATCTATCTATCTACAAAGTGTCTGTAGTCTTCGCTGCAAACAGTGCTCAATGCCTCAAAAAGGGGCAGAGCTTACCACACGGGGCAGAACAACAGAGACCAAAAATCGTTCTCGTAACTCCGAGTTTCGTGTTTCAAAAAACACGTCTGAGTGTTTTTTTAAACACGAAACTCGAGTTACGAGAAAGAGTTTTGGTCTCTGTTGTTCTGCCCCGTATCTATCTATCTATCTATCTATCTATCTATCTATCTATCTACCTTATCTATCTATCTATCTATCTATCTACCTTATCTATCTATCCATCCATCCATCCATCCATCCATCCATCATCCATCCATCCATCCATCTATCAGAGCTCACTGACTTGTCAGTTTGAGCATTCTAGCAAGGTACGTTCGGGCCTGGTTTAAATCTGGCTTCGGAAAATTTACTTCTATTTATCATTGCTATCAGGTTCGGCCTCATTTTCTCTGTGCTGCGGTGATGAGTCCACAAAGGACGAAACAGTTCTGTTCGCAAATTAGACACCCTTAGCAAAAAACGTTATGTTGTAACGGTATTATCGTAAGGGGGAAAATACCGTGATTTGGGTTCGACCTTTAGGCTGTCATCACACCATGGTACAAAGCGCTGCGTCTACGTCCACGTAAGGAGTTTTTGGTCGGTTGTCATGATGATCCGTATACGGGGTGAAAACGGGAGCAGAGGAAACGGGAGACGTAGACGTGGTATGGAGAGGGGGGGTATACGACTTTTTGTATGAACGTGCGTATCTCCCCCAGCCTTTTTCCGAGCGACCCTGTACTTCGATGTACGCGGGTTCAAATTTCTCCAAAAACCTGACTGCGTGTACGCGTCAAGAACTGTGCTTGTCTGATGACACGACCACCCGTTTTGGTTTTTTCACCATAGACGTAGACGTAAACGGGAGTCGGAGAACGTGGTGTGATGACGGCCTTAGCAAGATGCACGCTAATTTTGGCACGCTGTTGCCACGAGAGTAGCTTTGATTTCGCGCGGTACAACCATTTTTGTCACCATATACGCGATACAAGGTGAAATGCGTACGGACTATGCAATATTTGGCCAAAACACGTACCGTTGGTCACAACGATAAATCAGCCCCCATAACGTTTATACACTCCAGCTTCAACGCTATTTGGGTGATCAAGGTACGAGTACCGTAAAAAATAGCGTTACCGTTGTTTGCTGAGGGCGCGTTCAGACTGGCGTAAAAAACGAGCGGAATGTGAAAGTTGTCAAGGTGAATCGCTCACGTGACGTTCCCGCCAGCGTAAACACGGAAAAGGTTTCCCACCACTCTGCAGGCCAGTGGAATGCAGATTCCGGCGGCACGCGGAGCGCTTTTGATATCCTTGCAGCACATGTTCCGTCTTTTCGTTTTATTTCAGCCTCTACTCTTGCAGTCTGACTGCATGCTTTTGAGTTTTGAGTTTTGACTTCTAGACTGCCAACTAATTACTTCTCCCATCATGCCGAAATCTTTGTTCGACTCAGCAATGGAGAGGGAGTTCATGGAGCTGTACGTGGTGATTTTTGCGGGCCGCTCTGCAGGCAAAACGTTACTGCGAACGAGAAGCATACTCTGATCGCGGAGCGGATGAATGCCACCCAAGCACCAAACACTCCGGACATAGTATTCTTTCCGTCGACAAGCAAAAGCACAATGATCCAGCATCTCAACAGACTGAATTAGTTTATTTTGATATCCAACTCAAACTTAGTCAACTCAAATTTTTCAAATGTCGAAGCTTCACATGTACTGGCCATTCCAGCGGGATACACGTGCAGTGTGATTGCGATTCCCGGGATTACGCTGCAGCTTTCCGGCGGCTATTCACGCCAGTCTGAATGCGCCCTAAGGGTGTCTAAAATCTCTCCCTCTCTCCCCTCCCCCCCCCCCCCCCCCCCAGTGTCTCATTCACTTTTTTGGGGTTTGTGTGTACAGTCGAATGTCACTTATCCGGTCGCCAGTTATCCGAGCGCGTCGGTTATCCAACAAGCCCGGGAGTGGTAATTTTATGACTCTCAACAGTAAAATTCTTTAAAAAAATGTTGTTTTTGTACATGTATATCATACGGTGTACTATGCATTTACTTGAAGTAGATGTGGTCAAGTAAGCTAACATGTATGTGTACATGGAGCAATTCATGAATATGCATGAATATATTTGGGTATTGTGTACATAAATCAGTGAAATCCAGCCATATATGCACATAAAAAATGATATCAGTTATCCAACATGCCTGATTCCCGAAGTGGTCGGATAAGTGACATTCGACTGTATGTGTGAATTTTTGATGATGGGTTTGCGTGCTCACAATTTGTCTTTACACGTATTTGTGACTTGACATGGTATTCACTTCACTGCTTGATGTAGGATTCGGTTGAGACTGCATACATGGATGTGATGCGCGCATTGCAAGTTGATAGTATCGAGGAAGGTGAGTCGCTTGCTCAGAGTAGTTACTTTGTGTTATGTGTCAAGAAAGCCATCAACTGACCAAGTCGGTCTGAGACTAGGCTATCTCTGATTTAGGACACACTGAACGCAAAACGCACACTGAACGAAGACCCCTATGGTATCAGGGCATGTCAGGGTAGATTTATGAGGAGAAACTGGTTGAAAGCAAAGGCTCTGTGTGAGGAGGCGAAGCCCCTGTTCCGAACTCCAGTATGATAGGGTACCAAAATGCTTTGAAAATAAAATTTTGCAAACCTGGCCCGACGATGATTGAGTTTTTATTGCTATTGTGGTTCACACAATGCTCAATACTCAACAGAGGACACTCATGGTAATAACTTTCAGAACGAAAACAAGAAGAAGAACGACAAGCAAAGGAGCCAGCACACAAACTACGCATGCACGCACTGTACGCAGCACGTGCCAAGTCAATAAATAATGACTTCCAAAGTACAGATACCACATCCCTCCACCATTACTGTAGAACGGCCAATTTTAGCGGGTAAATTTTTAGCGTTTTCTGAATCTGGAGCAATTCACGATGAAATATTTTAGCGATCCGAGTTTCACACTGCAAGGATGACTGTACAAGCAAATTTTCGATTGGCACGGCAAAACTTTGGCGAAAACACTCCTTTCGCCAACATCGCTAAAATATCACCGTCGCTAAAATTATCCCGGTTTACAGTAGATAAAACTACTGGGAAGAGACTAAAGAAAGGTTCGTAACAGAACAGTATGAAATGATGTGCCACCGGCCACTACAGAACAAGACGTTTAGGCGCAGTGGACACACGGGTAGAGCGTTGCAGAACAACAGCGGGAGAACTATCTGTAGCAGGATTAGAAGCGACAGGACTAGCAGGACTCATAGAAACTGCAGGTACAGGGGACAGTGCAGAAGAAGGTGCTGCATGAGTACGCTCGGATACAGAATCAGAAACTGAAGTGGCGGTAGAAGAGTCATTAGTCGGCAAAGACAGACTAGGAGACTGAGAATAAGAAAATGACTGTTCATGACGGACTGGAGCTGATGTCAAAGACCCTGGATCATCTCGGTTGAAGGACGAATGCCAGTGGCGGCAATGACATGTCCGAGAAACACTATGGACTTGCCAGCGACAAGACATTAATTTTGTCACGATTCAGCTTCAGGCCAGCAGAGGCCAAACGATCAAGCACTACACACAGGTTCTTGTCATGCTCTTCTTGAGTACTACCTGAGACCACGATGTCATCAAGGTACACCACCACGAACGGTAGACCAGCTGATATCTGTTCCATGGTGCGCTGAAATATTGCTGGTGCGGCAGATACACCCCAGACTGTAACGCGTACGGCACTGAACGGGCTCGGGTAAATCGAGGCTTGGCATTTTACACTACTGACAATCAGACCTTGCCATTCTGCCATGTGCCTATCCCAGGCTTGAACCGAGACGGACACTCGGAAAGAACGTTGTGCTTTCGAGTGACATTGGACACAAAGTTCCAGCTCAGGCATAGTAGCTCCAGAAAATCACGACCAAGCAGATTAGGGCCACCACCTTTCACCACATGAATGGGAACTTCGGCAGACTGGCGCGATCCATGTGTCACACGCGCCACAAGCCGACCTTGGACTGGCAGAATCTTGCCATTGTACGTACGCAGCTTCAAGAGGTTGTCAGTCTCCAGCTCAATATTAGACTTAGACGACAGACGGCGGTACTCAGCATCATTGATGATAGTGACGGCGGCACCCGTGTCAATTTCAAATACAGTTGGAATGTTGTCAATACGCAAGGTACACATATACGGGTCAACGTGTGCACTTGCGACGGTACGAGTGTCTGGAACATCTGATGCTCCAGCCGAGGTATGAAACAACGAGTACTCATCCGACGACGCAACTGTACTGCTGCTAGTGTTCATACTACTGGTACTGGCAGACTGTTCACCAGAAACACGATTCACTGACGAGCAACAGACAATGGCGAAATGATTGTCTTTATTACACTTACGGCAGGACTTGCCTCATGCTGGACACTGCTCTCGGTTTGCATGCCAGGCACCACCACAGCCACCACAGCGACGGGACTTACTGCCAGTGCCGCTGGTGCTGGAGCTTGTAGCTGACTTGTTGCTGGCATACGTTGACTTTCTGGTGTTTGATTTCCGACTGGAGGACGACTGCTCCACCTTGTGCATTGTCGATTCCTTGCTGAAACTGGTGCTGGCAGGGCTGCTGATGCCTGTCATCGCCGCCACGGATGACAGTGTCGCCTCGACAGAACGCGCGTATGTCAATAGGTCCGTCAGGGAAATACTGCTCTCCATAAAGGCTTTCTCTCTCACTTTCGAGAGGACGCAGTACTGTACGACTAGTGATTTTATCTCAGAGTCGAGATTGGATAAACTGCAGTGTTTGGCCAGCCTACGTAGTCTAGAAACATAGCTGTCGATCGATTCAGCTGCTGCTTGCTTCTCTCGCCTGAACAAATAAATTTCATACTTCACTTTGCGCTTCGGCATAAAGTGGGCCAGCAAAGCATCTTTTGATCATGGTACGTTCCAGTCTGGCTATCATGGTACGTTCCAGTCTGGCTATCATCTAAAGTCAAATACATGTACAGGTCCAAGACATCCTCCCCTCCGACATGCAGGAGCTGAGCCTACTGGCGGTCGTCGCCAGTGACTTTGGCTGCTATCAAATAGAAATTAAATCTGGCAATCCATCTCTCCCACCGGAGGCCAATAGATTCCGCGGGTTCAAGAGAAAATGGAGCCAAGGATTTCATCGCTGCAGAATCCATCCTAGCATCCTAGACAAGACACTTGACTTTGTCGCCAAGATATTATGGTTCACACAATACTCAATACTCAATAGAGGACATTCATGGTAATAACTTTCAGAATGAAAACAAGAAGAAGAACGACAAGCAAAAGAACCAGCACACAAACTACGCATGCACGCACTGTACGCAGCACGTGCCAAGTCAATAAATAATGGCTTCCAAAGTACAGATACCACAATAGCTATCTGTATCGCAATAGATATGTAGCATAAAGTAATGTAAACTTTATGATACTCAAGTCTGTGGACAGCAACTGTTTCGTTCTGTTAGAGCTCCTCAGCACAGCTCAGAGGACCGAAGCGCAGCTCTTCGCAATGAAATACGTTTCCGTGAAGCAAAGCATTTTTATAAAGAGCTGCAAACCCCGCCAAGAGTGCTCGAAATGCTCCAAGAGCAGAGCAGTGAGCGTGGGTTCGCGCTAAGGTGAGAGTGCTCAACCTACATTGCTGACGCTAGGGAGCACACTGATACTCCAGTCTGTGGACAGCTTTATGATAGGTAATTGATAGGTAATTGATAGGTAATTGATAGGTAATTGATAGGTAATTGATAGGTAATTGATAGGTAATTGATAGGTAATTGATAGGTAATTGATAGGTAATTGATAGGTAATTGATAGGTAATTGATAGGTAATTGATAGGTAATTGATAGGTAATTGATAGGTAATTGATAGGTAATTGATAGGTAATTGATAGGTAATTGATAGGTAATTGATAGGTAATTGATAGGTAATTGATAGGTAATTGATAGGTAATTGATAGGTAATTGATAGGTAATTGATAGGTAATTGATAGGTAATTGATAGGTAATTGATAGGTAATTGATAGGTAATTGATAGGTAATTGATAGGTAATTGATAGGTAATTGATAGGTAATTGATAGGTAATTGATAGGTAATTGATAGGTAATTGATAGGTAATTGATAGGTAATTGATAGGTAATTGATAGGTAATTGATAGGTAATTGATAGGTAATTGATAGGTAATTGATAGGTAATTGATAGGTAATTGATAGGTAATTGATAGGTAATTGATAGGTAATTGATAGGTAATTGATAGGTAATTGATAGGTAATTGATAGGTAATTGATAGGTAATTGATAGGTAATTGATAGGTAATTGATAGGTAATTGATAGGTAATTGATAGGTAATTGATAGGTAATTGATAGGTAATTGATAGGTAATTGATAGGTAATTGGGCCCTAAGCCCACCGTGTACAGGAAAAAGTCACGATTCGCATGAGACTCGGCTAGAGGCTGAGACTCGGCTAGAGGCTGAGACTCGGCTAGAGGCTGAGTTTTCCGCATCTGTAGGAACGCTACCTCCCTCAGGGTTCAGAAATCTGAGAAGAAATGATCGCCTCTCATAGTTGATTACAGTGCATTTCCTACCATATGATTAAAATATGCTATCCTTAAGTGCCAGAAATAGTACTATTGAAAGGCACTGTATGGTATATCACAATTATTATTATTTTTTAGTATAAGCCTACCTCATAGAATCAAAAGAATTGCAAACTCCTGTTTGTAAAAACTTAGAAAAGGGACAAACTTCAGTTTCAACATAATTTATTGAAAAGAAGTAGCGACGACCCGGCCATTATGGAATCCAATACACCACATCACCACATTGCACTCTTGGCCGATCCAAACTCTGCACTCACATCACCATCACCACAGCGAGGACAATTCCGGTATATAGATTGATATTGACAATGACCCTCCAGACAGCTGTTTCGCTCCTCCTGAGCTCATCAGTGGAGGCATATGATGTTGAATGAAAGAATAATAAGAATAGACTGACACACGGAAAGTTGGGTGTGGTCCTCGAAAGAGTGCTCAATGCACCGGGGTGCAGAGCTTCATACAAAAGGAATAGAACGGGGTACGGAGCTTGGGTTGGCTGTGACTCCGAGTTTCACGCCTGTGGCGATCATCAGACAGCAATGATTACAAAAACTCAATGAATGTTCTTGATAATTATAGTGTGGTAAGGTGCTAGTGGAATCAGAGAATTTAAGCGCAAATAAGGTCAAGCGGTGATTCTATGCGTGTACTTGCAAGATTAGCGCCAGACATCAGGTGTAATCCTGGTTTATGTAACTGGAGGTGTGAAGTTAGATAGGTAGAATTTGTTCTCATGTCTGCACTTGGCCACTAGCTCCGATCGCTTGTTGATGTTCACCCTTCTGTCAGAAGCGATACGACGGACACATGACGTCAATGAGGCATGAGCGAATGGAGAAGAGTATCGAGTTGTCGAAGCTCATCTGGGACATGAAGCGCAAGAATGCCGGGTACAGCATCAGTTGGTCAGTTGTCGCCCAAACACCAGCATACTCCAATGCCACCAAGCGCTGCCCTCTCTGTCTGCGTGAGAAGCTGGAGATCTTGCATGCTGACAGAAGGGTGAACATCAACAAGCGATCGGAGCTAGTGGCCAAGTGCAGACATGAGAACAAATTCTACCTATCTAACTTCACATCTCCAGTTACATAAACCAGGATTACACCTGATGTCTGGCGCTAATCTTGCAAGTACATGCATAGAATCACCGCTTGACCTTATTTGCGCTTAAATTCTCTGATTCCACTAGCACCTTACCACACTATAATTATCAAGAACATTCATTGAGTTTTTGTAATCATTGCTGTCTGATGATCGCCACAGGCGTGAAACTCGGAGTCACAGCCAACCCAAGCTCCGTACCCCATTCTATTCCTTTTGTAAGAATAGACTGATCTTTATAGGGCTAAGCGCAATTGCGCTCATTCTGCATAGAAACGTGGCATACCCTAAGTGACAAAAGTGACAAAAGTGATAACAAGGTCAGGTGATAACGACACACACTCATGGCTGGGACAGGAACATATGCCTCCACTGATGAGCTCAGGAGGAGCGAAACAGCTGTCTGGAGGGTCATTGTCAATATCAATCTATATACCGGAACTGTCCTCGCTGTGGTGATGGTGATGTGAGTGCAGAGTTTGGATCGGCCAAGAGCGCAATGTGGTGGTGTGGTGTATTGGATTCCATAATTTATTGAAATTGCACGAATTTAACTTTGTTTTAAGCTTTCTCGTCATGTGAAATACAGGCAAGAGCAAAGGAACAAGGACAATGCATTTTTAAGTACAGCAGAAAGGTTCTAAAACAGTTATAATATTCGCGAGATCCGCATCGGCATCGCTTGAATGTTCAGAAACACACAAACTAGCCTTCGCATCCGCAGGCCACCACTATGCCTGTTCACCTTAGCGGCGAATGCAGACCTCACAAGTGTGTCAGGGGAGAGGAGGTTAGTCTCTCAACCAATCGGTTCCTGTTTGTAAAAGTAGTATTTGCTCTTAATTCGTTATATAAAATATGAACTCTTGGCTGTGACTTCCACAGGTCTCAAACATCAGGAAAGGTTCATAGCGCATCACAATTTTTTTGGAATTGATAGTGGGTGTACCCTTGGTGGTGGTGATGCTTCAACCCTGGACATTTGGGCAAAGTTGGACAGAAAAGTGATTTGACCTCCAATATATTGTCCCTGTACCCTTGTGGTGGTGATGCTTCAACCCTGGACATTTGGGCAAAGTTGGACAGAAAAGTGATTTGACCTCCAATATATTGTCCTCGGATAATGAAAAAAATCGACGGGTTCGCGTACCGGGCAGGTCAAGAACAAGGAGTCGTACAACTCCCTGGTCAAGAACCACCTTTCCGCTTCCGTGGGACGCCACCACCCCATGACCAGGCGTCAGATGCGGCTCCTAAACGGTGGGGGAGGATAGCTCAGATCCACCAACCATAGGCCAAAGGCCTAAATCCCATTTGCCACATCCATGTTTTACCAAGAGTACATAACCCCCCAGAGTGTGCAACTCCCACATACCCTGCTGTCCCGGCAGAATTTCAAGTTGACGTCATTAATTATGACGCAATGCTCCTTGCACCAGTGATTTACAACATGTGTACGGGTGTCAACGCATCACACGTTTTTCTTTGCATTAATTTGTACAGGATCGATCGGCTTCGGTCAACCACAGGTTCCGGATTCGTCTGATAATCCGTGTACAGTGCGCATTGCATCATCAAAATGACGTCAACTTGAAATTCTGTCGGGACAGCACCCATAGTGGAGTTGCACACTCTGGGAGGTTATGTACTCTTGGTAGGGAGTTCAGTTCCGGTCGCTGAAAAGCGAAAAATGCAGTCACAGCTCGCCTGTACAAAGTGAATGGGCGCCTCGTGGCTGCAGTTCGAGGCCCAAGTATCTTCTCCCGCGGCCTTTTCGGCCTTGTCGATGCTATTTTTAGGTAGCTGAGGTCATTACCTTTCCAATGGTGCCACACATGCCATGCTTCAAAAAGTAATGCCTCCGCGCTTGGCACGGATGCACTTCGAAGTACTAATTTCGACCAGATCCGTACTCGGCCCCGCGAGGAACACCCGATTTTTGTGTTCAGCGGCCTCAAATTAGCCTAAACCAAAAGGATTCTAGAACATTTAGGCTCGCGCTTTATCGCGGTAGAAGGAGAATGATCACAGAAGCCAGCCCACGGCAATTTCCTGGTGGTAGACGAAAAAAATCGAGTGAACTGCGCGCACACTGCAGAAGCAGTGATGGTGAAAACGTGCGACTTGTGCAAGTAGTCGCACACTGCATGCATGGACACCTCCTGCATCGCCATGTACGCACCAGATAGTGCAGTGCTGGACGGAAACCACACGGCTCACATACATACTTGCATTTACTTCTGTGACTATTTTCTCCCCCGTTTTCTGATCTTCAATCGACTATAACTCTAGATTGCCTTGGAATTTTGGGTTCAAATTTTCACAGGTTGTTTCTCACATCTTCCTGGTATAGAAAAACTAGCGTTTTATGCGAAACTCACGAATTTGGTTTTTCGATTGTCCCTACTCTTGGTTTTACTCATGCCAGTCCACGAGTTCCCAATTTAATCCTCTTCCAAGCAGGACTTGAACCTGGTACCTCTCGTTTCTCAATCATGGTCTTAGACCAACCCACTGTGCCTGCCTGCGGATAATGAGCCAGTATGAAATGTGAAATAGAAGAAGAAAACACATGGAAACTGAATGTCTCAGTAGCCTGTCACTTTTGTGCCCTGTTATCGCACGTACTGACCGCTTATGATCTTGTTACATTCGTTGATAGTTGCTTCATAACTCGTTTCCATGTGTTTTCTTCTTCTATAATATATTTTCCGCATGTACCAGTGCTTCAGATCATGATGACCTGTTTTTCCTTACTTTGACAATGGCGCAGCTACTTCAAGTAGTAATTTAGAATAGCTCCTTGGACAATTGTGTTGAACAATGGTGAGATCCTGCTGCACGGATACTTTCCATGAGATCATTGCTTGAAGCCGGTGTTTTATTTCTTTGGCGGCTACACAGGCAAACTGGAACAAAACATCTATCACTATTGCAGCCGAATGAAGAACAACGGTCGCCCAGGAAGTAAAATGGTTGGTTAAGTAACTTGAGTTCACATTTTCCTTTCTAGACATTGAATTCTAACTAAAAAAGCCTTTTTGAACTTTCAGCCCGCCGAACCTAATTTACAGATATAGCCTGGGCAAACGTGTCATTGAAAGACTAGCAAGTAAAATTAATTTGTGGGCAATGTAGGATGAAAAAATGTGGGCATGTTTCCTGTTGGGACAACTCCTTTGCCTCTATTCCTGCTAGTGTAGTTTGGTGTGAAGATGAACTGAATGTAGCGTGTGTGTGTTTTGCTATTCATATAATTCAAGAAGGTGGCTACTCCCTATTCGGGAGCTTGCGCTTCCTGCCGACTGACTGTCACTGTCGCCTAGAGCTATAGAGGACACGAGAGCAGCATGTTGAACCTTTCACACGGCAAGCCTGCAAGAAAGCACCACTCTCCCTGCACAATGCACAGCGTTTCAGGGAATTCGCCCCTCATCAGTTGACCTTGAGTAGGCTAATGAACTTGGTGCTCCGAGAGCACTGCATGCATTATAGAATGTCTCCCTACCAGGGGCGGATCCAGAGGTCTCTACAGGAGGTTCTAGTTTAGCCAAAACTGAATAACTGATACATGTACATGGATATGCATATGGTTTCCAGTACAGTCAGACCTCGCTTATCCGGTCCTCGTTTATCCGGATCCCTCGCCATCCGGAAGAAAATCGCTGGTTACCGATGTGCAGCGTTATGTTATGCATACAACATATCCGGACCTCCCGATCTGCATACCGGTGCATGATTTTGTGTACAAACTGGTTAAAATGTGTACAAAAAGCTTCGTCGTATCCGGTTGCACGTGGCTTGCAGAAGCAAGAATCAGGGTGTTGTACAAGCAAATGAGGTCCTTGACCTGCTGGATGCATGCGGATAGCACTCAGTTGCATGCACTTGTCATTGTTCTCGCTTGTTTTACATACTGTGCACGCTAGTTGTACTGCATAGGACCCGTCTACATGTATGTATGGTGCCACTGCTTTTGACATGCCACATGCATATCCAGTATGTGTGTTCAGTTATCCGGTTCCCTCGCCTATCCGGATATTTGTATGGAAAACAGATGTGTGCGGTTAAGCGAGGTCTGACTGTAGTACATTTGCGAAATTTAGGGGGTTCCACGGAATTTCACTGCATGTTGCAAACTTTTTGTCTCTAGTAACTACTATAAATGTCTCTTTCGTGTGGCAGATTAATCGAGTAGCCACTGAGCTGGTGAGTTTGAAGGATGGTGATCTGCCTCTCAGTTATTCCTCATCTGTCTTCATACGCACTGTAAGTACTCATGAAATAAAGTATGCCTAAATAGGCTAAAATAAAGTGGTCTTGTGTGTGTGTGTGTGTGTGCGTGCGTGCGTGCGTGTGTGTGGCATTGTATATGTGTGCATGTGTGTGTGTGTGTGTGTGTGTGTGCGTGTGTGTGCGTGTGTGTGTGTGTGTGTGTGTGTGTGTGTGTGTGTGTGTGTGTGTGTGTGTCTGCTGGGCGCGGCCTTCAACCAGTACGGACAGCAGCGATCGTTGACGAGAACGGAAATATATGCACGTCACCGCGTGAGCAGGGACAGCGCTGGGGAAGGCACTTCTGGAGTGCTCAACGTCATGAGCACTTGGACACCGAATGCGCTGAATGGTATCCCTCAACTACCGCTTGCCGAGGACCTTGCTGAACCTCCCAAGCTGCGCGAAGTGTGCCGCGCCGTTGCTCGCTTGAAGAATGGCAAGGCTGCTGGAGCCTCGGGCGTCTTGCCGAAGATGGTGAAGGCAGGGGGTGAGTCGCTGAAGAACAAGCTTGTGGAGCTATTCGGATATGTGTGGTGTACCGGCCAAGTGCCGCAGGAGTGGGTAGACGCTACCCTTGTGCCAATCCCGAAGAAAGGGGACCTGACCCGATGCGACAACTGGCGTGGCATCGCGCTGCTCGATGTTGTCGGCAAGGTCCTGGCGAGTCTCATTCAGACGAGACTCCAGGGCCTGGCCAGCAGCTTCCTCCCGGAATCACAATGCGGCTTTCGGCGAGGCAGATCCTGCACGGACATGGTGTTCAGCGTACGTCAGCTGCTCGAGAAGACCATCGAGCATACAGCCAAGGGTTTCTTCGTCTTCATTGACCTGAAGAAGGCCTACGACTCCGTGCCCCGTGAGTGCTTCTGGAAGGTGCTCTCCCGTGCTGGTGTCCCTCCTCCCATGCTTGCAGTCATCCGATCTTTCCACCATGAGATGTCTGCAGTATTGCGCGTGAGTGGCACAGACGTAGATCCGTTTAGCGTCACCAACGGCTTGCGGCAAGGCTGCACTATGGCTCCTGTCCCCTTCAACATCTTCATGTGGGCAGTAGTCACCAAGTGGCAACAGAGGGTCAGAGGTATTCCTGGCGTTGGTTTCGAGTTCAGCTACCACTATGGTGAGGGTCAACTATATCGCAAGGCACGCCGGGCTGACACCGCTGCCACTGCCCTAGAGGCACAGTTCGCGGACGATTCCTCCCTGTTTGCAACATCGCGTGCTGGTGCTGAGATTGCCTTGGACCTGTTCAACTCGACCGCTTCGGAGTTCAGCCTCACCGTGAGCGCGACCAAAACCAAGTTCTTGATTGTGGGAGCTGGCATCACGGCTGCGGACCAGGCGCCCATACAGCTTGCCGGTGTGGACATTGAGTGTGTGCCGGAGTTCAAGTACCTGGGGTGTATCATCCACTGTGGCGGCCGATCTTCGCAGGATATCAGCGCTCGGGTGGCAAGTGCGTCCCGGGCTTGTGGTGCTCTGCAGCAATCTGTTTTCAGGAACAAGAACTTAGATACGAAATAGAGGTTGCGACTTCGGCGATGATTTTGTTTAGGAATGGGTTTGCTCCCACACTGGAGCTCGTGAGTCAGTCAAGTGTCAAGTCGTCGGCGGAATAGCGCGAGCTCCAGGGTGGGAGCAAACCCATTCCTAAAGAACTTAGATCTTCATATTAAACGCTGTGTGTTTAATGCTTGTGTCCTGTCTCTGCTCCTGTATGGGTCTGAGTGCTGGACGCCGCTGAAGCAGGACCTTCGTCGCATGTCTGTTTTCCACATGCGATGCGTGCGGTCGATATTGGGTATCACACGCCATCGTTGCTGGGATGACCACATATCAAACTGTAATGGGTAGCCGAGTGGTAGGCGCGGTGAAATCAACAAGAATTACTTTTATTCTACTTTCAGGTACACACCTGAGATATACTTATTAGTGAAAGAAGAAGCGGCGAAATAAATAACTTTCTCTCCGGTGCTCACCTAGAGGTTGACTCCTTCTTCTTCGAGTTAGCTTTCATTGCTATCTAATCTAATCTAATCTAATTAAAACAGAAAAACCGCAGCTGCTTTTATGCAGCAGACGCCGTACGCTTATATGCGGAGATACACTAAAATTAATATACATAAGGTCGTTCCGTATTGCTTCCGTATTACTTCCGTATCAGCCAGGCAGGGATACTACACCCTCCCTTCCTACAGATAATCACGCCCTCGTGATTTTCAAAAGTAGGCAGGTGGGTGAATGTTCTGTCTGGGCCGGAGATTGTACGGAAGTGCAGGAGGAGGCGGAGCGTGGGGTTGGAGTTGAGGAGGAGGCGGAGCGGGGGTGGGGTGGGAGTTGCGGTAGTGGTGTATGTGCAGGGGTGGTGTGTATCTCGGGATCGTATGTCGGTGGTGTTGCAGGACGTAGATCTACGTCGGTTACTTGATGATATGGCTTCAGGCGATTTACGTGAACAATTGAAAGCCTCTGGCGATCCGACAATGAACGAATGCGGACTGTGACATCATCGATCACCTTCTGGATGACATATGGTCCTGTCCAGAATCGGTGAAACTTGGGGGACTCATTCTGAGGGACCACTGGTGAATGTAGGAGAACAAGCTGATCCTTCGTGAACTTCGGTGGCGGGCGAGATGTACCATCGTAACCCTTCTTCTGGTGCTGGTGTGATTTTAAGGCCGTGCTGGCGGGCACGCTCAAAGGCAGTCTCAGTTGAAGTACGAATAGAAGAGACGAATTCAGGGTAAGATGGTGGTGGTGAGTTACGGGGTAAACCATACATCACATCGAGAGGCAGAACCGGATCATAACCAAACTGGAGGCGGAATGGAGAATAGCCAGTCGATGCATGTACACTAGTGCGGTATGCTAGCGCCGTGGGTTGGAGATGCAAGTCCCAGTCTTGGTGATCAGAGATGGATGTTGCAATCATAGCTTCTAGTGTCCGGTTGAATCTTTCAACCATGCCATCACTTTGTGGGTGGTAGGGTGTGGTTCTGGTCTTGGTGATATCAAGCATAGTGCATAGGCTTTGAAACAAGCGACTCTCAAACTGGGAACCTTGATCAGTGTGCAAGGCAGCGGTTGCACCATAGCGACAGATCCAACCATTGAAGAACAAACCGGCGACAGTAGAGGCGAGCATGTTGGGCATGGGGAAAATCTCGACCCACTTGGAGAAGTAATCCATTATGACTAATACGTACCGATTTCCTCGATCAGTGATAGGAAGGGGGCCCATGATGTCCATGGCGACACGCTGGCTTGGATAGGATGATGTTTGCGATTGCAGAGGTGCTTTCGGTTTGGGCTGAGGTGCTTTCCGTTTTTGGCACTCCGGGCAGGTTCTAACACACTGTTCGATGTCATCAGCCATGTGGGGCCAGTAGAACCGTGTACGAGCCTTGTCGATGGTGCGGTTGACGCCAAGATGACCCGATCCAATACCGGCATGCAGCGATCTGACAACAGTAGGACGTTGTGACGCAGGCAGGACCAATTGAAGATACGAGGACAGATCATCAGTCGACTCATACCTTCGGTAGAGAACACCATCTTGGACAATGAGACGATTGAACTGCGTCCAGAGTCGGTGCACATCAGGATGAACAGCAGCTAACTCATCTGATCCCTTAGGTGGTCGTTGCTGTGACGTCACCCACTTCATCACTAGAGAAATCGAGGGATCCACAGCTTGGCTAGTGCGGAGGGAGGTAGACGGCAGCCAGGACGCTGACGGAGCAGGCTCACGAGTGCATTGGTCGAGCTCGCCTGTGGACAGAGAGACACCGCATGAACTCACAGCAGCAGATGCAGCAGGCGGCAGACACATACTCTTGGCAGCAGGGGAAGAACACACATGTCCACACAATCTTGACAAACTATCGGCGTTGACATGCTGAGAGCCAGGGCGATGCCGAGTTTCATAGTCAAACGCTGATAACCGTTCTATCCAGCGTGCAACAATGCCATCCGGATTCTTGAATGAAGATAGCCAAAGGAGGGCTTTGTGATCAGTGCGGAGTAGGAATGTGGCGCCGAGCAAGTAGTGACGGAAATAGTGAGTGAATTCAATAACAGCCAGTAACTCACGCTTTGTCGTTGTGTAATTACGTTGACCAGAGGACAGTGTCTTACTTGCATAGGCGATGGGATGTTCTGCACCATCGGAGCCGATTTGTGAAAGGACCGCACCAATGGCATGATCACTAGCATCTGTATCCAGAATGAAGGACTTATTGGCATCAGGATAGGCAAGGACGGGTGCTGAGCTGAGGTGTTGGCGGAGCTGATCGAAGGCATTCTGTGCCTCGGGTGGCCAGGCGAATGTTGAGTGCTTCCTTGTTAGCGCATGCAGAGGTGTCGCAATCTTAGCAAAGTCATGGATGAATCTCCTGTAGTATGATGCAAAGCCGAGGAACTGGCGCACACCCGTGATGGACGTAGGTTGCTTCCAGGTGGAAACAGCCTTAATTTTGGCGAGATCAGGGCAAACACCATCAGCAGAGAACACATGACCAAGATATCCAACAGATGAGTTGACTAGAGAGCATTTAGACGGCTTCACTTTGAGGCGGGCCTCACGGAGACGGTCGAGGACAGAACGTAACCGTTGGAGGTGTTCCTTGAACGTCCTTGAGAAGACAATGATATCATCCAGATATACAAGACACGTGGATGGAATAAGATCTCCCAGAACAGCATTCATCGGCGCTGAAACGTAGCAGGTGCATTGCATAAGCCGAAAGGCATGCAGGTCCACTCATAGAAGCCAAATGGAGTGACGAAGGCAGACTTACGCCGGGCATCTTTATCCATGCCGACTTGCCAGTAGCCAGAAGCGAGGTCAATAGTTGTGAAGTAGCGGGCACCACTCATGGCATCAATGGCATCATCAATACGCGGCATTGGAAAGGCGTCTTTTACCGTGATGTTGTTAAGCTGACGGTAGTCCACACAAAGGCGAATGGAGTTGTCAGGCTTCCGGACAA